TGAGCTGGGAACTGGGGGGACCCCATCTCTGACACCAAGAGGCTGACCGGGCGGCTCTGACGGGCCAGAGTGGGGAGGGGCGGGGAGCCCCCTGTCCCTTCCCGTGTTCCTCCCTGGAACGTGGTCCTGTGGTTACACGCCACCCCCAGCCGAGCAGGACACACCGCTGGGAGGAGGGGAGGCTGAGAAACCTCTTTTGTGGGGAGAGGACAGAGGGCCTTTGTGTGCAGCCTCCTTGGGTGACGGGTCCTCCAGGGGCCAAGGGGCCCATCCGTGGGGCCGGGGAGCTGCCGTGTCCCCGACGCGGCCCAGGCGGTGTGGGCTCCCCTCCCTCCTCCATGTGGAGGGTCTGGGCCAGGCCCACGCTCTGCAGGGGGCACCCTGGTCGGGCCTCCCCCGGGATGAGAGCCCCCCCAGCAACTGCCTCCACAAGTGTCCTTTGGGGTAAATGCAGGCAGGCTGGCCCCAGCCGTGAGTCACTGCTCTCCCACTGTAGCTAACTCTGTGGTTCATATTGGGGGGGGTGCAGCAGGGAGGTGGGGGGCTGTCCCCCAGGGGGCACTCAGCAGGGCAGGCGGCCCTCTTGGCTGTCACAGCCTGGGCAGGTGGTGGGTGCTGCTGGCTGCCTGGGGGCGTGGCCAGGGGGGCGGCCCACAGCCGCAGGGCGCAGGCCAAGGGCGGTCTGGCCCGGGCATCACGCGTGTCGGGGTCCAGGAACCACGAACTGGAGCGTTGTTTTTTTTAAACAAAACCCACTTATTTGTTTTTTAAACATGTTTATTGGTTTCAGAGAGGAAGGGAGAGGGAGCGAGAGATAGAAACACCAACGATGAGAGGGAATCATGGATCAGCTGCCTCCTGCACGCCCCCTACTGGGGATGGAGCCCACAACCTGGGCACGTGCCCTGACTGGGAATCGAACCCGGGACCCTTCAGTCTACAGGCCAATGCTCTAGCCGCTGAGCCACACCGGCCGTGGCTGGCGCTGCTTTCCAGGCGGTCTGAGCGCTCCCTGACCCGCCCTCCCTGCAGGAAACCATGATGGACCACGCCCTGCGCACCATCTCCTACATCGCGGACATCGGGAACATCGTGGTGCTCATGGCGCGGCGGCGCATGCCCCGGGCGGCCTCGCAGGACTGCATCGAGACCACGCCGGGCGCCCCCGAGGGCAAGAAGCAGTACAAGATGATCTGCCACGTGTTCGAGTCCGAGGACGTGAGTGAGCGCCACGCGGGCCCCCAGCACTGCAGGCGCCTGGGGAACACGGGCAGGTGGGGCCGCCTGGCTGGCGCTCGAGGGCCTCGGGGACCGGGAGCCACGGGAGGTCCGACAGCTTCTTGTCGAGGACGGGTGGGCGGGGCCGTCATCGGGCTTCTCGCTAAGGAGCTGCCGTCCCCAGAAGTGCTGTGGCCACGGCCCGCTTCCAGGAGACGTTGCACACACCCACGCAGGTGCTGGACAGGAGGGCGCTGCGTGTGGCTCAGGCCGGGGGACGCCTTAGGGCCCCGCAGGGGGCTGAGGGCAGGAGGCTTGTCGGGAGCTCCCGTGTCCTCGTCCTGGGAGGAGTGTGAGGGACCCCCTTGTGGGGGTGAAGGGACACCCGCAGCTGCCAGAGGGCAGGGCCCAGATGGTGGCCCCACCCAGGTGGCCGCTAGGTGAGGAGGGCGGAGGGTCTGTGAGCAGAGGAACACTGGGGACCCTGAGGCGGCACCAGGACACCAGTGGCTCTGTGAACCTCGGTTTCCCCCAGGCATGTTGGTGAGGTGCACAGAAGGTGCTGGGCCACAGCTGCTGCCCCTCGGAGTGGGGAGACCCTTGTTTGCCGGGTTCTAAGCCCCACCCAGTTGGAGCCAGGGGACGGGAGGGGAGCCCGCAGCAGACACGCCTGGCGGGGACGGCCTCCCGGGGGCTGGGCAGCCCCTGCAAGCTGTCCCCTAGGGGTGCAGGGAGCAGGGCGCCTCGGTCAGGTGGACACCCCATGGGGCCTCCGTGGGCTCTCGGGTGAGTCCAGGCCGGGGACGGGCCCAGGGCCTGCGCCCCCATTGGAGGGAGGGGGTGGGTGGGAAGGAAACACAGTGGTCACCGTGGTCGTGAGCAGGTCGCTGGTCAGCTTTGCCCTTTATTGAGGCTGTGCCTGCCCCACACTGTCCGGTGGGCAGCCAGGGCCCGGCCACAGGTACCGGCTGCAGAAAGGGCCCCAGTTCCCCTCAGGCGTCCGCGCCCCTCCAGGCGGCCCTCTGAGGTGTCCTCCCACAGGCGCAGCTCATCGCGCAGTCCATCGGCCAGGCCTTCAGCGTGGCCTACCAGGAGTTCCTGCGCGCCAACGGCATCAACCCCGAGGACCTGAGCCAGAAGGACTACAGCGACATCATCAGCTCCCAGGAGATGTACAACGACGACCTCATCCACTTCTCCACCTGGGAGAACTGCAAG